CTCTTCTCTGCATTTATCTTCAGCTTCCACTTGATGAACCACTGATGTAGTTCGTCAATTGCAAGCTGTAGCTGTTGCCTGATGCAGTCCTTGCGAGATGAGGATGTCAGAAGGGCCGTATCATCTGCAAAGAGTGCCAGGGTCGTATTGGCAGGTCTTGGGATGTCGCTTGAGATACGCGTAACAACTAAGAAGAGAGATTGCAGCATTGAAAAATTCTTCAATCAACAACTATCTCAGCAATTTAACCGCAGACAGGATATTCCTTGTGGAAAGCAACAAAATACTGAAAGCGCCCTGTAACACAAATGCCACCATCCAAAAAATTGATGAACTATGGGCTCGCACTAACAACGATAAAGCAATGATCTTTGCGGAACACCTCGAGACTAGATTTTTGCCTAATACCGGGGTGGATAAACTGCCTAGCCTAACTCCAAATTACCGCTTGGACCCAATTCCGCTAGTTACAACAAAAGAAGTCAGTAACGAAGTTAAAATGAACCTAAACCCGAACAAAGCACCCGGTTTTGATATGATCACAGGTACAATACTAAAGAAAATGCAACGAAAAGCCTTGGTAAAATTGACTACATTAATCAACGCGTCAATCCGACTAAAATATGTACCGGTACAATGGAAAGTATCGGATGTAATTATGATTCCAAAACCTGGCAAAAATCCACATAAAGTAGAATCATATCGGCCAATCTCACTGCTACCAGTCATGTCAAAATTATTTGAAAAGCTGAAAAATACCACCTAATACCAACGCATCAGTTTGGGTTCCGTAGTCAACATTCAACGATTGACCAAGTACATCGAATCACTGACGTCATAGAAAAATCCCTTGAGCATAAGAAAGTGCGCTCTGCTATCTTCTTAGATGTAGCGCAAGCATTTGACCGAGTGCATGGCCTACTGCATAAACTAAAGTGGCATCTACCTGACTCCTATTATCAACTCCTAAAGTCTTACTTAGCAGATCGGAAGTTTCGTATTAGAAATGAAGACGCATACTCAGAATTGAAGACAATACAAGCAGGAGTTCCTCAAGGCAGTGTACTGGGACCCAAGCTGTACTTGATCTACACAAATGATATACCCCAAACACCGAACTGCATGATGGCCACGTTTGCGGATGACGCTGCAATGCTGGCAGCAGGCGACTCATTGCAGGAGTCAACGACAAAGCTGCAACGGGCAGTTGATAATGTTGCTGCATGGACCTGCAAATGGCGAATCAGGCTCAATGAGGAAAAATCTACATATGTAAACTTTACAAACATTGGTTACCAACCCATTTTCCTCAATGGCATAATAGTTCCACCAGCGAATACGGCAAAATACCTGGGAATGACTCTTGATGCCAAACTCCGATGGAAGGCCCACATCAAAAAGAAGCAAGATGAGCTAAACATCAAGTTCCGGAAACTATATTGGCTACTTGGAAGACGATCTGAACTAACAATCAATAATAAGCTGTTAGTCTACAAGCAAGTGCTGCGACCAATATGGACTTATGGCAGTCAATTGTGGGTCTGCGCCAAAAAATCTAATGTCGAGATAGTCCAAAGATTCTAGAACAAAGTACTAAGGCATATAACTAATGCGCCTTGGTATCTACGGAATTGCGACTTACATCGAGAACTCAGCGTAGAAACGGTTGCGACAGTTATACAAAGATGTGCTGTTTCACACGAAAGTCGCCTTCAGCGTCACATCAACGAAGAAGGATCCAGGCTCCTCGATGTGGAAAACTTGACAATAAGACTTGATCGTACCATTCGAGGTTACCAAGCTGCCAAACAACTAAGAAACCATATGAAAAGCTTAGATTTTTAATCATTGTAATATCTTTGTGCCAAAACAAAACAGATTGTTAGTCGTCTCTGTGACTACTTTTCGTATCATCTTGCACTCAGTGAGAGACAGAGAAAAAAAACTTTCCGATTAACGGAAGAAAGAACCAGGGCCATTGTGAAGGCGCTCTTTTCAAGGTCGGATGACGCCACGGCAGCCATTACTGCTGGCGCAGCAAGCGGCGACGAAGAGGTGAACCCTTTCATAGCGTGAACTGCAAAGAACTTGCGCCAAGCCGAAGCGCAACAGAGCCACAGGACCGGACGGAGTTCTCCCGGAAGCTGCCGTATTTATAGTCCAAGTGCCAA